ACAAACCTGCACGTTCCACACATGTATTTCAGAACTTAAAATAAATACACAAAATGTAAAAAACCTAATTAGGAAGGACTTGTACTGCCCCTTCTCACAGACAAGGAAACTGAGGCTCTGAATAGTTAAGTAACTTGCCCAAAGGCACATAGCTGGTCAGCAGTCAAATCAGTATTCAAACCTAGTCCTTAGACTCAAAGCACTGCCCTTTCTAGGGAGTTACTAGCAGCACGGTTGGGTTAACCCGCTGCCTCACCAAAGCGAAACATGTCATGCTTCCCACACCCAGCACACCCAGCTACCTGCTGTGTCCCTGTCACTATGGGGGGAAATTTGTCACATCTCCCAACCAGGGGTATTACTGTGGTTTTACCATACATGTTTCTGAGTGTACTGGTGGTGGCAAAGGCCACTGGAGAAAGATACTTAGGAGACAACCCAAGCCTCCCCTGAAAAGTTAACAGAGTAGAATGCAGAAGCCAAAGAATACCAATACGGGAACAGCTGAGAGCCACACTTCACTGAGGCTGCCACAGAATGTGATACTGCTTAGCCAGAAGAGCACATGCCAGGTTTGGAATCTGCCACTTACTAACCAGGCAACCTTGGAAAAGGGGTTTTCTTCCTCACAGGGTTCTAGTTTATTCAATTGAGAAATAGGAATGATACGGTAATGTCATGAGGCTGTTCCAAAGATGTAATAAGCTGACATACACATACTGATACAGTGACGTAGCTTGCACAATATCTGGAGTTGGTAATAACTTACTGTTTATAGTCTGCAAAGCTCTGATTACAGATACAAGATGAAACCAGGCCTGGAGGAAAATGCACGTAGACCTGGCACCCTAGAGAGCCAAGGATTTGATGAGGAAGGCTCTAATTCCCCTTCTTTTCATGAATAGCCACAAACCACCTCCCTCAGAAGAAACAACAATGCTATGCTTTTCTTTTGTGCTTCCCTCTATACTCCCTGTTAACTGACCTAAGATCTCAAAATAGCCTGATTTTTCCCTCCAAGAATGGAACTGGCCAAAACGGTGAGCAATTGCTGACCTCTTCACTGGCAAGAGCTGGAGAGGCAGCAAGGCCAGCAATGGATTCCACTTCTCAGAGTGACTGATCCCTCCTTTGCTGGAAGAGGTGCAGAGAACCTATGGATGACACCTACCCCACAGAACATTGTGCAGGGCAAGAACCCTGCGTGAACAAAGGCAGAGGAACTGCCTTCTTTTTACTTTTCAAAAGGCACAGGATAATAAAGAATAGGGTATCAATCAAGTGGACGGAACAGAATAACAATAACACACAAATGAATTGAGCACTCGCTATGTAGCTTTGCACTCATGTGAGTTTTGCAAATATTATCTTATTCAATGCTTGCAACTACCCTACAAGTTAGACATTTTCATCATTCCCATTTTACAGAAAAGGAAAGTTTTTTAGCTTATCCAGAATTATAGAAGCAATAAGTGGCAGAAGCAGGACCCAGACCAAAGTCTCACCTGGCTCACCTCACAAGCAAGAAAAACTAAAGGTCAAAATGCTGGATTTGCCTCCAGGTTCTGCCTCTTTCATCCTTGTCTGTGCCCTCATGTGGCTTTGGAGGAAATGGAGGAAATCAACAGTTTCTTTCTGATTTGGGTTCCAAGAGCAGAGCTGAGAGCTAGGTGATGTTCATACCCTTGGATTTAGGGGAAAAGGGATGTGGCTTAGAATACAGAGGCTAGAGTAGGACAGGAAGCTGTGATCAGGAAGGCTTTAGTCCAAGGTGTCACTTCTGGCTCCAATTCTTTCATTACCAACCCAGCTCTGTGACCTTTCTATAAGATGTGAAATGAGGATGTTAGGGAAGTAGGGAAGAGATTGAATGGTTACCAAGTCATCTTCCAGCTCAGAGTCTTTACTGCACATTGGAGAAGATCTGCAAGATCAAGCAACTCCCCAGACAGACGTCAAAGGCACTCTGTTGTCAAGAATCTTAGCAAATAAAACACTTAATTTTGCCAAGATAGAAACAGCTACAACAATACACTTCACTTTACCAGGAAAAAAAATAGCTACAAGAATAATTCATGCATGTAATGTTCTTGTCTTCCATGCCCTACGTAACTACAAATTAATTCTCAGAAGGACACAAGAGACTACAATGGCAATACCAAAATGACAAGCCTCTTTTTTTTTCCCCCATAAAAGAATGGCTACCTCTTTACACAAAGGCTTTCACTAAAATTCCTTTGGATCCATACCAGACTCATACATAGTCACTCAGAGCTGGAAGGAAATTTGAAGGTCAGTTAGTCTGACTCTCCAACAGTTGCCTAAGTCCCTTCCACAATGTTTCTGAGTATGGGTACCTAGGAGATGCCTAAGTACCCTCATAATAACGAACTTGATACACTCAAAGCAGCCTATTTCATTTTTTTGGGAGTTCTGATATTTTTTCAAAAGACTTTTTATACTGTGCCAAAATCTGTCTATAATTTTGGTTCTTCCTCTGTACCCTGTGGCTATAAAAACTCCTCCACAACAGCCCTTCAAAAATGTAGCCCTTGAGTCTTCTCTTCTGCAGAGCTATCACTCTGTACTTATAGAAAAAATCTGACCACTGAGGTGTCATTGTTTTTGTTGTCATTCTTGTGTTTTTTTTAAAGACAGATTTACTTGAGCCACAATTATTCCAAGAAGATTACTCCTCCAAATAACCCAAACTGCGTATTTTTTCAACCCATATTATCAGCAACACTGAAAGCTGATTATAATCAACTTGCTTTCACAGAAAGAAGGAATACATCAAAAAATAGACTATAAGAGAATCCACTTGGCTAAATGTATCACCAGCAAGCATCCTATGTTCCCAACCAACAGATCAACCAGGAAGAACATTGGATGCACATTTCTCCACCACCGCCCACCCTCCACTAGAATTTAAATGGCTGGGTTTCAAACCACAGAACTATAAAAACCATCTCGCCACAATCTTGCATTTTATAATGTGGAAGTTGAGGCCCAGAGATCCCATCTGTTTCTCCTTGCCATCCTCAAACTTTTATTAATTCTAGGCACCCCACACTTGGTTATGCAATGAGGATACTAAGGCACCAAGCCCTTGCCTTCACAGGTCTCTGTGCAGGGACCCACAAGATAGTCCAAGGGATTTAAAACAGGTTGAGGAATATTGCTGGGGTAGCCCAGTGACAGGCATTGGAACCTTGTACAAAGGACTTAGAAGACAAAGGGTTGTTTCCTTTCTCCAGACTTTGTGCAAATTGCCCCTCCCAGTAGATCATCGGTCCCTTCTGTTTGGCAAACTCGTTCTTTGGACTCAGCTCAGGTATCACCCCTGACAATTAATCCTTGACTCCCGTTAGCTATCCGCCTCCTTTATGCTCCCATAATACCTTGTTCAAATCACAATCACTGTACTTACCATCTTCTACGCAATTATCTTTCTTGTGTTAACTTTTCTGTTAGACTTTAGGTTCCTGGAGATAGGGAACTGAGTATCATTGCGTTTTATAAGTCTAGTCTAGTTCAGTTGGTACAGTACTGGGTTTGATGAATAAAAAAGTAAACATTTCAGCAGTTTTTAGGGCTAACAGGGGTTTGTCGCATACAGAAAAGAATTCCAGGTTGGAAAAGCAGCAGGCAGAGACACAGCACTCTGAAGGGGTGTCATGTGCTTGGAGAATTGTGTGGAATTCTCATGGTGGCAATTCAGGGTGGGAAGGGTGGGCATAGAGAGAAGTTGAGGTCAGGGCTCAGGGGTTAAGTTTGGGCCAGATGTGGACAACCACATACACCATGCTGAAATGTACAGATATTATCCTTTCATCAGGTGGGAGAGTGACAGATCAGATTTTTAAGGTTAGTCAAGCAGCCATAAGAAGGAAGCACTCCATTGAGGGCAGACATGAGGCAGGAAGGTGAATTTGGAGCCCACTGCATGATCTAGCTAGGGCATGAGGAAGGTTTTTAATGAAGAGCTTTGTGTCCTGAGAATTCTGTGGGGGCCTTGAGGATGAAGGCAAAGTACTGACTTAGATTTGAGAGCTTAGATAGAACCAACAGGATCTGATGAGTAACACGAGGCTTCAGAGAGGGAAAAGCAGCATCAACATTTGATGCCAGGGTTTCCCAGGACAAATCAGACAATGTAAATAGGAACCATGAGACAAGAAGCAGGTTCGGGGAAAGATTATGAAGTCATTTTAGGAAAGATTCCTATGAGAACCTTTCTATATGATTTCTCCAGGTGCAGAGCTATCTTATTATTGTTTTAACCAAAAGAGTTAGAGAGATGAAGTGCAAGAAAATCCGTCGTAAAAACCCCAAAAGTATGAGACCAATACTTTAATCCTCACAGAGACAGATGGAGCAGTTCTGATGATTTGAGAGTGGAAGAAACAACTTAAGGTGAAAAATCTTCTGGTTCTTAAACCACCAATCATTTCTCAACCAGTTTAGTTGGCAGGTGCATGCAAAATATTCTTTAGACAAACAAATTCCATGTCTCTCTTATTCTCTGGACCCAACTGAGTCATTTTCATATCTGTTAAAAAATTATCATTACTAGCTGACAGGCTAATGGCTTCACACTACTCAGCAAATCCCAGTCACCGCAGAGAATTCAGTTTGCAGTAATTAAGTGGCCCCTCAGAGCCATTTTGCTGACTAGCAACCTCACGCTTTACTCATCTTTTCAAAATGCTAGGAGGTCTAGATATTGATGAGGGGGGAAAAAAAGCCACATTCCTGCCCCCAGCACACACATGAATAAATCCCTTCTGCACCAAAATGGATCCATCTTCTAATCTAGCAACATCCCCTCTCTCCTCCATTTTATAGCAAAAGCCCTGCAGAGCAAACAACAAGCAGAACCTCTTTAGAACCAATTACTATACTTAAATAAACAGCAAAGGGACTTTTCTGGTCACAGTGATTATTCAAAGTGCACAGGGACTGTTCTTTGTAGAAAATAACTGAAACTTTTAGCTCACCCTCTTCCTCAGGTTGTATGTCAGAATCAGGTTCCGGGAGAAGGAATGGGAGAAGGCCGTGTAGAATTCCAGCACTTTCTGCAGGGCATCCCGCTTGATCACATGCAGATCGCAGTAGGTCAAGGCCCTCACATTGGCACAGGACTGGGCAAGGGTGGCTTCCTTCCAGAACACATCTCCAAACACGTCTCCTTTTCCTAAGGAGAGAAGGTGGTCATGAGGAACGTGTTGGCCAGGAGAGGTCTGCCCATCCAGCTGGCTTCCCTCTATTCCCCAGAATTGCTATCCATTCAGCATTCTGCAGATTGGGCTCAGAAAAGGCAAACACTATTTTAACGTGAACCTTAACAACGTGCAGTTTAAGAAATGTTTAAGTAGCAGTTAACACATGCCAAAGTTTAATCACTTTGAAATCATTTATGTCACCTCCTCGAAGGGTTTTCTTGATCATCCTATCCAAAACAGGACATACATGCCCATTATTCTGTATCACACCCCTTTTCTCCCCCATGACACTAATCATAATCTTTCATTATATTACTTGTTCACTGGTTTATTGCATGTCTTTCAACTTGATAGCTCATGTGTCTTATTCATCCACATAACACAGTGCCTGCACATGGTAGGAGCTCAACCAATATTTACAGGCAGAAGGAAAGGACGGAGGTAGACTGTGGTGGGTCTATACTAGTATGACTGAGAGGTGAATATTTAAGGGAGCATGTGGACTCTTCATCAGAAATCTAATGAGCAAGAGAGGTCTCTCTCTGGGATGATCCACATGGAAGAAGTCAGACAGAGTTCTTTCCTTACCACAGGGTGTCCACCACCCTAAGGTTTATGTTTGTATGGTGCCTCTTTCTCATCCTCTCTCCCATACCTCCTTCCAGAGCATGTTCCTTACCCTTGCTAAATGTCCTCCTGGTGGTATAAAAATATGGGCCCTATATAAATGGCATCTCCAGGATCCTCTCTATCCCTAGCATTCCACAAGAATACATTTAATAAGTCAATAGAATAATGCTATGGACTGAATGTGTGTGCCCCTCCCCCTTAATTCATATGTTAAAATCCTAACCCTCAGTGCAATGATATCAGGAAGCGAAGCCTTTGGGAGGTAATTAAGTCATGGAGGTGGAGCGTCTCATAAATGGGATTAATGTCCTTATAAAAGGGACTCCTAAGAGCTCTCCTGTGCTCTTTCTATCATGTGAGGATACAATGAGAAGTAGGCAGTCTGCAAACCAGAAGGGGGCCCTCACCAGAACCTGACAATGCTGCTCCCTGGTCTCAGACTTCCAGCTTCCAGAACTGAGAGAAATAAATTTCTGTTGTTTATAAGTTACCCAGTCTATGGTATTTTGTTATAGAAGCCCAAATTAAGACAACTACTAATCCCATATAGCCATATTCTGGGTCAAAGCTTTATCAGTCGTCTTTAACCATCTGCTTTTCACACCTAGGGATATTCTTCCTACCTTTGCCAGCAAGCAACATTTTAACATATGTCAAATGCAAAGCCTAATTCATTTCTGGCATAGCCTCTGGTTATAAATAGTTTAAAATGTTGTTTATCTTGCCTCTAAATTTTCAGCACGATAAACACAAATTTGAATCCCCAGGGAGCCAACGAGGAGTACACAGGAGGAAGGGAAAAAAATGCTACCAAGGGTGAAAAGTAATGTATTCAAGGGAGTTGTCAGCCTGTGCATCCAGATCGGCCAAGCTCCACAGCTGAAATCAAAGGACCTGTAGCTCAGTGTGTTTAACAGGCCAGCTGTTTTCCTGATTAAAGCTAAGGAGGTAATTATACTTCCAAGTACATGGATAGAACTTGACTTTACCTCAAACATCAAAAAGTGTCCATTCTAAGTATGTAAGATATCTGTGGGCACAGCCTTCCCTAAGCACCTCCAAAATGTGAGCTGAAAAACATTTATACTAGACATATTACTTCACAGTTCTCTATGTGTTTGTGGTTCTAATTTACGAAGATGGTTTTACTGAGTCAATGTGAATAGGATACATACTTGGGGTAGCTTCTAGGCAAATACGTCTTTAAAACTGTGCTACTTAGATTCCCTAACTAAGTTCTCTTTTCAAACATCTGTAACATAGGTGGCTCATTTAGGGCTGGGGTCAGTAAAAGGGAATGTTTCTCTCTGTAGGATGCTAACTGGCTTCCACGGAAATAGGCTCATTTATTGTGTACTCCCCAGTACTCAGTTCTAACCAACAAGGCTGGCCAATTCATTTGTAAATATTATATGTATTAAGCATTCTATAACCTTCCTACACTGCCCACAATGGCTTATGCACCCTTCATATTTGTGTCATCTTGTTCCTCAAGGGAATGTCCTTCCTCCCGAACATTATGGTAGGTAGTTAAAAATAGGCCCTACCTATTCTTTTCCCCGCAGTACACACATGCTGCAACTCCCATCAAGAGGTGAAGTCTAATTCCCTCCCCTTGAATCTGGACTGGCCTTAGTCACTCCCTGGCCTCAACCAATAGAATGTGGAAGAAGCGATGTTCTGGGATTTTGAGTCAAGGTCATAAGAAGCCTTGCAGCCTCCGCCTGGATCTCCGAGAACACTCATTCTTGGGACTGTCCCTCTTGGAACCCAATCAACAAGTGAGAAGCACAAGCCACACAAGGGGTCACATGTGTGTGCTGGGGCCCACAGCCCAGCTGAGCTCTCAGCTGACAGTCTCAACTGCCAGTCATGTCAAGAAGCCATCTTAGTTGTCCTGCTCAGTCCAGCCTTCAGATGACTACAGCCCCAGTCAATGCCTGACTGCACCCACATGTGGGAAGTGCAAGTGACAACCAACCAGCTGAGCTAAACAACCCACAGAATGGAAGAGACAATAATAAGTTTCTTAAGCCATTAAATGTAGGAGTGGTATGCTACACAGCAATAGAGAGCCAGAATACACAGAATCATGGAGCTTGAGACCAGTCTGGGCAACAAAGCAAGACATCGCCTTTACAAAAAAATGAAAAATAGCTGGGCATGGTGGCATGCACCTGTAGTTCCAACTACTCATGAGGCTGAGATGGGAGGATTACTTGAACCCAGGAGTCCAGGAGTTTGAGACTGCAGTGAGCTATAATTGGGCACTCCAGCCTGGGCTACAGAGCAAGACCCTGTCTCAAAAAAAATTACCTGCTAGGTTATGTAATATTCCAGCAGAACATCACAAATCATCCCAACTCTGAGCTGGCATCCCCCTCTTCCTTCCCTGAAAGAACTATACAAGACAGAGCAAGGGGTGGCTCTAAGAGGGGCAGATTTTCCTCTGGAAGCGTTTGAATATCTGTGAGAAAATGTAGAATGTATAAAACCTGCAGTCTCCTATTGGGATGAAATGTGTTATAAGCCAGCACTATTGAGAGTAGAAGTTAGTTGATCATCCTGCCTGATTTGTATTAAGATTACTTCATCTAAACAAGACCCAATACATGAGTGTTATACTTTTCAGATGAATCTGGGAGTCATTTTTCTAATTACAAAAGAAACTATTAGGTAAAACAGTAGCACTGCATGTGCATGTAATGATAAATATATCTATAAAATTTCAGTTTATAAGCAACTCTTCAGGGGCATACCTATTGCATAAAATAAGGGGCAACCATATTGTGGTTGGAATGCACCATGAAATAAATGCATCTGTAGAAATGACAATATTCCCATTATGAAACATTTTCCAATCACAGGTTTTGACAGAAAAAATAAATGGAGGGTAGTTCCTAATACAAAAAGTATTTCACGGTAAGATAATCATGATTAATCTGTAGGGTCTAAGAGTCTCAGTGTTGTCAAAACTTGAGTTGATTTTCAACCCAAATTGAAAATCATATAACTTTACTTCCTGTCAAGGCAGTAGTTTTGGTATAAATTATCTGTTAGTGAGATTTAAGAATGTAATATCAGAGGACCTGTCAGATCCAAAACAAACTCAGGATTATTCTGGCAAATGCGAAATGTTTTTATGACACACATAACTTGGGAGAACTGTCAAGGGGAAGGAGACAGAACATTTGGCAAGCTGCTCATAAGTTACACACAATGCTGGAAATAATGAGTTCCCAGGTCAGGGTTGCAAATCAGAAGCCCAGACAAGCACTACACCCACATTTGTTTCTCATTTGCCAGTGTGTGAAATGATCATTCACTCAAGAACAAAAGGTACCCCAATGCACTCAGCAATCAAGCTACTGGAGGCAATCAGCCTATTGATTTATTTATTACACTGAGGCTCTGGGTGCAGAATGTTAAAACCTAATGTTCCAAGTCTCTAAAATACTAACATTCTAAGAGGACATTCTGAGCTGGGGGGAAAAAAAAGAGGGAAGTAAGGAAAGGCAGGCTAATTAAAACTCCAGGCAAACATCTCAGTAATAATTAATCCTCCTCCTCCTCCCCTCAATTATATGCAGCTGTCTTTACTGAACCTCCAATTCTGCAGTGGACTCTAAACAGCCCTATGGGGTACCAACATAGGACTGAAGAACATCCACAAAACATAGCTCGGAAGTGGGACACAGGGCTGAGGTGGCACAGGGCCAGGGAGGGGCACAGCACAGAAGAAAACCAAGTCCCTGCAGGCAATTTGGTTTAATGAAGGGCAAAGGCTAGAACAGCCAGCCACTTGAGGAAGCTGAAGGGGGGTGAGTGGGGTGAAATGGGATTACCAGGGTGAATTCAAGAGATGCTGGAACTCTGGGACCCTGGAAGGATCAATAGCCTTCCTGAGGTTAAAGAGTTCCTGGGAAGCAATTCTGATCTGAACTCTACAACTAAGTCTTGGAACCCTCGAGAGAAGGCAATGTTTATTCAAAGACAGGCTCTGAGTGAGCTTGGCAGACCTGGGAGATCAGAAAAAAATGAAATTTCTGGCTGCTTGTCTTCACTATTCCCTATTATACGCTCTTTTAAGGACAATCTCACAGTGTTATGACGTACTCCACAAAATATAATTCTAATATTAAACTCACTATCTGCTATTAAGATCATTATTTCTAGACCCAAACCAATTTAAACAAATTCATTCAGTCATTCATGCAACTTTTGCCAGGCACTGTTCTAGGGGCTGAGGTGTAACAGCAGAACAGCAGATACAGTGAGGGAAGGAGATGCAGGTGACTGTAATGTGTTAGGGCCTATAACAAGGGAGAGTCCAGGAGGTGTA